CTCTAGATGTGGCACTGTATATAAGGTCTAAATTTAGACCCAATTCCGAACAAACGCTAAGTGTTTTTCTATATAAGGTCTAAATTTAGACCCAATTCAGAACAAACGCTAAGTGTTTTTCTTGCTACACCTAAAAACTGCCGGCTGTTGTGTTGTCTGTTTTATGTCACATTTCCATTTTAGTCAGAGACGAGGTTTACAAGTGCCACTTCTTACATATTCTTCCATCACCAGTGCAGCGTGAACAGAACAGCAAGAGCACAAACACCCTTTTTCTGGGTCAGGTAGAAAATAAGAGATGAGATGGGCAGCGTTCTGTACCGACGGCTGCCTTCACTGTTTCAAAACCACAATCCAAATGTGATTACCACTGTGAGACTGGCTCTCTGATAAGGTATTATGGGGCTTAATCAAAGTAACCTTTCTTTTTACAATGACCTTGTTCTTCTTCCAGGAAAGCTGAGGGGGAAAAAAACATTCTGAGAGCCCTCAGGTGCATGTCTATGTGGATCTCTGATATGCAAATCATTGCAGCACGGGGATCCCAGATCTAATGAGATCATCAGTTCTGCGGGGAAAACCTGTGGTGAAGGTGTGTGGGTTATATTATGCTACAGACATACAGACACACACACACACAATGTTTATAAAGGCTACAATAATATACTGTATGTCACCCATGAGTAAGACTGTTGTTTCCCTTTGATGGGGAAAGAAAACAGGGGAGGTTGTCAGGTCCTGTGGGATCACTGAGCATTAAGTGACCCATCACAGACAGATGAGGTGGGACACAGAAAGGAAGAGCCAGAGACAGGGACAAGTTTCCACAGAAACAGGTGAAGAAAACGACAGTTACAGCAGCCAGCAGTGAGGGCGTGAAAGGAGGCTGGCTGCACAACCTGTGAACACAATACAATCTCTGATGTGTACCAGCAAGGAACCCATCTGGAGGCAGTTAAGCTACTGTAAGCTGCAGTTACTGTGACCAAGAAAAATATGTATTAATAATAAAGAGCATTGTTTTTTCATGCTACATTTACTAGTAAAACAGTATGAATTCAGCCATATACGTACGTGCATCTAATATTAGATTTTTTAAAACTCTGATAAATTTAATTAAAATTGGATTTTGGGAACATGCCAACATACAGCAGTGATTGTGTTTGGTGTTCAGTGCAGTTTTTACATTCAGGATACACAGAGTAAACCTAGACATGTGTGATTTGTACAATAATGCAATGGTTTGATTTGTTCATTTTATATTTTTTTTTTAAGCAGTATTGCAGTCTTTTTTATTTTCTCCAGACTATTTTTTTTTTAAATACACCCAGTAGGATTTAGAATACTAGCTAGGTTGGTTTGCAACTACTGACATTATTCTCTTCCCAAGTCACGATTCAGCAGCTTGTACAGCTTCATGTTGTCCACCAGATGGCCTTCTAGACCTCTTTTATGTCGACCAATGTGATCCATCTCTTCTAACAGATAAACTTCATCTAACGTAGTAACGAGTATAAAAACATAATTCCAATGGGAACATACAGTGTATACTACACTGTATACTACATACTACATACTGGGGTTTGTTTTCTTTCAAGATCTTTTTAGAATTTTAAATACTAAGTGTACAACTGGGCTAATTAGCTGAAACTATGTTTTTGAAAGGCTGTAAGAACATAGCCACACTCGTGCCAAGAGTGTTGTCAAGAATCTGAACAGAAAGATCTGGCAAACGCACGTTTCTTTGGATCACTGTGAGCCAAAAGCAAAGCCAACTGACGGAACTGCTGCTCTGCATGAATGCTCACATTACTACCCTAGAGCTAAAATCAGAATTTATCAATTTAGTGGCACAGGTGTGGATGTTTGGAACGTGTACCACATATGGATGTACGATACAGTAAGAAAATGTATTATGCTGTTGCAGTTTTTTGTATATTTAAACAAAAAAAAACGTTGTCTATTTCTACTTTATGCTGGGGTAATCAGTACATTATCCAAACTATCACTGGCACTGATGTTCAGTCCAAAGTATTGAAGAAAAGGTAGTTTGTTTTTTAATTCCAACATAACCAAAACTTTTTGCAGCTTTATACAGTCCACTGTGGATAAAGAATCACCAGTAAGTATGATGATCAGCAAAAAGGCCCGACTGAGCCTTTAACAAGAAATGAATCCTTCTAACGTAAAGTGAGTTACAGCCTTGTGTCAAAGATGCAGAGAGCGGCCTAGAGACCCAGTAATTGGTTAGTGTTGATCTTGTGATATACACTGAACAATGGTATTGATTATGCTCCACTAAATCTCCTGCTGCAAGTGTTCTTGTGCTGTGAAGGCTTCACAGTTCTTGAGGGACACATCAAATGAGTGATGACCATAACAGGTTGGAGACGGATAATGCTGATGGAGGGCTTCTGCGGGGTAATAAAGAGCCCCCGTGTGGATATAAGCCGGAGGCCTCGCAGCTAGACTCTCTTCCTGTTGCTGATTTGGTATAGATTTTCCATTTGTTTAAGGGGGACGTATCATATGCAGGAAATATAGCATTAGCTACTGTCACTGGAAAGTTTACTGACGGCTCTCTCACCTTCACAAGTCTTCAATCAGGCTTACATAGACCTGTCTGGAATTACACTGGCTGAATTATATACATCATTAAATTGTTAATTACATCCTATGTCCTGCTGTTATTATTATTATTGTTATTACAACTGTATCCACTGTTATCTAACCTTTACTGTTATTGTACCTTTGCTGTGCTATTGCATCTTTATTTTGATTTTGCACATTCTACTCTCTCTGAACACATACTTTGAACATGTCTGCATGTCCGTTTGCTTGATTTTATTACTTGCTCACAGACTATCTACAACCCAGAGTGGCATTTCCTTGTTTGTTATACCTGTATAATGATCATGTGACAAATAAACTCCTGAATATTGAAAGTCTTTAAGTGCATACATCATTAAAAAATGTGTTTTATACACCAAATCCACTCACACAGCTTTGGTTTCACAGCGATATTGACTTATTGGTCTGGACAAAAGGCCACACAATAATCACCCAACGCTTCATTAGAAATGGCAAATGACCATGTGCTTTGCAATACCACCAAACACAAGCTGGGTACGGCAGAAAAAAACTTGATTGTGAGCGCCGGCGTTGTAATCTCTGCATAGATTAATCAATGTCTCTAATTCCTGCCTTTTACTTAGAGTTGCAAATTTGCCATGAGTTATGTCTCCTCTGATTCATTATGATACTAATGCACTTAGCATTGATTAACCAGTCAGTGCTGTTGGTCGATTCTATTGCTGGAACACAGGCAGACTCTTCCTTTATATGGACTTGTGATGAGCTGTACATTTCTGATCCTGTAAACCTACTGAGAGGAACTGCTCTTCAAATCACGCACATAATTAC